TATCAATAACCTGGGAGGGGCATTCTCATTAGGGGGTTCAATTTTGTCATAATTACTTAATTACAAAGGCCCTACTTACTAAAGTAAACAGTATTATTGTATGAATCCTTTTTAAATTCCTCAATTCATTTATCATTTAATCAGTCCATTATCCTAATTCTTTCATCATCGTTGCTTAACATAGTAGTCTTAAAATAAAGCCAAGTTCAAAAACGCACACGAGCACATGGGTAGTCAGAAGATAGAGGGGGTGGTAGGTATTTAGATGAGAACTGACAGGATATAGAGGAAAGAAGGAGAGTAATGGAAGGGTCGGATTGGACACTTTGAATCCGATCAAAGTTCACGCATCATCAAAGAGTTTTAGTGCAATGCAATGCCGGGAAAGTGTTTGCAAATGCACCTGATTAAAAATATTATGCTAAAAGTACAAATGACAACAATAGCAGAAGAAAAGTTCATAGAAGTTTCCTATTCAATTAGATTAAAATAGTAAAACGGGTTAAAAGCATATAAAAAAGGAGACTACGACCATACAGTTGAGGAAAGCCATAGCGAGTCCATTACAGAGAAACAGTGTCGATAATATACATTAATATGATTCATTAGAATGAAAGAAAGCGAACAGATTTGTATAGAATCATCTATGAAAAGGCGTGGAATCAATGCGGGACGGATTCAAGAAGAAGAGGCAAAGGCGAAGATATAGGCGAATAAACTTAAATATCATATACTGCGAACTGATAATTATTGCAAAATATTTGGACCCTATCTATATTCAGCTGTGCACATACCCTTTCAAGAAAGTAATCTCGTCTATTCTACGTTATAAAAGATTATAAGTAACTTAGTAACAGTCTATTTCCAATGTAAGATGCGAATTTTCCCTGCTTGATGCCGATCGCCCATATGGATATACTAAAATAAGGGATCGTGATCATAAGATTTTGATGTCTCCTTTAGATAACTAGCTTTACCGTAATGAATAAGCTAACAAGTGGATTGGATAATTTAATTAAACCCATATTCCACAAAATTTCACAAAATTGAAACATTCGTTATAAATTAAATTAGACTAAGATAGAGGTTGTTTGACCTTGTTTTTGCAACTCGGTCATATTGGTAGAAAGACTTAGAGGAACGCACCTAGTCAGGAGTCCATTGTATGCATAATTATTTCCAGAGTAGGACCGTGGACGTGGATTCCCAGACGTTTCGCCGGCATCGTCAATGAGTCTCGCCATTCGTAGCACCATATTACAACTCTAAGTCTTCCTACCAATATGACCGAGTTGCAAAAACAAGGTCAAATAACTTCTATACAACGAAAGGAGACTGAGACCACGCAAAAGGCCACAACATCTTTGTCTTCATACCTTTGATTAAGATAGAGGTTGTTTGACCTTGTTTTTACAACATGGTCATATTGGTAGGAAGACTTAGAGGAACGCACCTAGTCCGGAGTCCATCTTCTGCATGATCATTTCCAAAGTTGAACCGTATACGTGGTGCATTCCCAAACGTGTCGCCGGCATCGTCAGTGAGTATCGCCACTCTTAAAACCACACAACAACTCTTCAGAGACAAGTGAAGCCGATCCTTTGACCAAACGTGTGTTAAACAACTGTGGTATCTCCTCTTTGCCATGGGTTATTCGCGTTTCCGGTAGCATCCTATCATGCCTTCACTATTACAATTGTTTACCGTGTTTATTTAGATAGTGTGGTGGGCTCCTTTGAGCGACATGACACTTTCACACTCCAACTGTTGTTCTCACCCCCCTCCCTTCATCATTGTGCAGGGAATGTTAATCAGAGTCTGCTTTATTATTATGCAGTCTTCTTTCCTAGTCGTATTCCAGTCTCTCTCTTGCTCCGTAAACTAAGATACTTTGTCAAGATAAAAATAAAATGATGTGGACTAAATAGTTTGCATTTAAAAACCTCGCTACATGCTTAAGAAAAGATACAAATAAGATAATACAGTTCATTTGAAAATAGCAATTTAAGTACTTTTTAAAACAACATAGCTTTGTATACCTAGGAATTTAATACCTATAATTATAATTCATAGTAATTAAATACGGAGCAAATACCTAGTTAAGTTTCAATTCATAAAGTTGTTAAAGGCCATGATGATGAATAAAATGAGTTATATACGCAAAAAGTTCAATATTAGACATGAAAGTCAGAGTTTACCTGTATACAAGATCAAAAGTAGTGAGAGTAGTATCGCAAAAAAAGCACTCACGCAATCAAGCCAAGCGTCACGAAGTCCAAGAACTTCTCGTAAAAGCTTTATGCCGGTTGTTTCCGGCTCCAAATTAAAGTCTCCAGCTACAAAAATGGCATCAACGGAATGCATCGTCGAATTGATAAATTCAATTAACTCAATAACTTGAGCCATTCGATGCCCCTCATATCCGTCCTTATTGCGATCCAACACATATCTAGCAATCAACTGTTTGAAAAAAGGTAAATAGTATAAGGCAAACCAAGTCAACAAAATCGTTTCCGAATATAAAATTGGGAATATAAATTAATCGTTATAACATTCCAAAAGGAAATATTTTTAAATCGTACGTGAAGAATGTAAACATTTATGCAATATCCGTTTTGAGTAGTTATTCTAGCCATTCCGAAACCTTTGCCGCAATACCAATCTCCATGATCAACTCGATGAGGATAACCATTAGCTCCGAAAGAGTGGGTTGTGACAAATTCGATTGCCCATTTAGAAAAAATGCACGTGCCCGAACCGCAAACATTACTGAAATACATTATTTTATAAACTAACCCGTGGAAATAATTTATGAATGGATAACTACTTTGAAGAACATCTTTCATCAGTCGGATGTCTTTTTCAGCCCATATCTAAAGATAATTAAAAGGAATACAGACTTCTTGCAGGCATATAATATCATAGTACCCTTTTGATAATTCCTTTGCTATGTAATTCAGTCTGTCATCTTTTCTAACTGTCGCGAATGGCACAAAAATACCCCTATGGATAATTTACAATAGAGCTTACCAGCAATTAAGAGTCAGAAATTTAATCCTTTCTTCCATACAATATAATAATTAAATTAATTTCGCAAGCCTAAGATACTGGTACTAATTCAGTCAAATTAGTCCAGAGGATGGGAAGGGCAGAGAGATAGGCAAGGAAAGGAGGTTCTATGATTGCGCCTTCTATGATACACATAATCCTTTTAAAAAAACGGAGTATGCGCATATATTTTGTTGAATGTCTTCACATTGCATATATGAGAAAATAAATGGTTTTATTTTTAGCGGCCTTCTTGACTGCTCTCCTGCATTATGAGCAGACCTGGCGAGCAATTGTCAAATAACTACAAGATCCCATCATGGTAAATTTTATTTCTTATAATTATTGATCTTAATTTTTAGGGCTAGTAAACCACCTCCTGGTCTTCACTTAGACGTCTTGAAAGATGGAAAGTTGATACAGGTACGATGTGCTTATATCCACTGGAGTATAGAAACTTATGATCGACGAGAAGAAATGCTACTTCTTTGGTAGAAACAAGCAGCTGTGTGATTTTGCTATTGAGCATCAATCATGCTCCAGGATTCATGCTTTACTTGCATGGCATAAATCCCTAAATAGAGCCTTCTTGATTGACCTTGGTAGCATTCATGGAACATATATAGGAAAACTGCGCCTGGAATCAGATAAACCTCAGCAAGT